TGCACCAGGAAAAATTTACTACCCAATTTTTCAGGGGTCCCATGAGCTCAGCCACAGCCACTTTATTTGCACCACCAAAAAAATTGCTTCCTAATTTTTTGGGTATTGCAGGGGTTCAGACACTGTCAATTTAATTGCACCCCCAAAAATTTACTCCCCAATTTTAGGGTGCTTGCACAATTCATTCACAGCCACTTGAATTGCACCACCAAAAATTTGCCACTCATTTTTCAGGAGTCACACAGGTTCAACCATGAGAGTGTGGACACCAGGTGGCTCCTGGTGGGAAATGTTCTCTGGAAAAAGAAGAGAGGTACCTGCAGGATGGTGAAATTCTCCAGGACGCTGTTCATCATGTACTTCTCCGGGAGGTGCTTGAGTTTGTGGATGAAGTTGATCATGTACTCGCACATGGGAGAGCGGTGGATGCGGTAGACGAACCGGCCGTTCTCCAGCCGCGCGTACTCCGTCTGCGGGGACACTCGGGGTGAGCAGCTGTCCCACGGGACCCAAAACACCGAGGGGACGTGGGCATGGGTGGGTTAGTGGCCAACTGGGACATGGTGGAGATGTCTTCTCCGTTCTACCCATGGGACAGGCATGACCCATGTGTCCTACACCCACCCCTGGGGCTTTCTCCATCCCGGGACCCGTGGTGGAACCAATTCCCACCCCTTCCCGATGCAGCGGAGTGCAGGACTCACCTCCACCTTCTCCACGACCTGCTTCCCAAAGGAGCACACCTTGGTGGAGACTGTGATGGTCATGTTCTCTGCACTGCTGTACTGACTGCTGACACCGTAGAAAGTCCCTGGCCCGTCCTGGATTGTACTGTTCAGATCCGCCTGGAGAGATGAGAGCAGGGAGAAGGTCCTGTTAGGTGTCATCACACCCAGATCTCAATGGGGACAGGGGACACTGGCTTATGGAGCTGCTCAGGATGTTCCTGCTTTGCTAGCAGGGTGCCCAACCTACAACAAACCCATGGCTCGAGAACAACCCTCCCCATCCTCCTTCTCCCAGCATCGTACCCAAAATTTGACAAGGAAGAAGGAGTTCTGGGGCCCACGCTCATAGAGCTCCTTGAGGCCACCTTTCTTCTCAGGGAACTTGTCATAGATCTGGCGGATGTCCACAGCCTCCAGCAGCGGGTCACTGTACGAGGGGTTCGTCTGGCCGATGTGCACGAAGAGGTGTTTGCTGTACTGTAAGGACCGGGGTGGAGAAATGAAAACGAGAGGTCAGATGAAAGCAAAATGTCACCAAGTACAGAGATCATAGAACCCCAGACTGGTCTGGGTTGGAAGGGACCTTAAAGCTCATCCAGTCCCAACCCCCCTGCCAGCAGCAGGGACACCTTCCACTAGACCAGGTTGCTCAAAGCCTCATCCAACCTGGCCTTCAACACTTCCAGGGAGGAGCAGCCAGAGCTTCTCTGGCCAACCTGGGCCAGTGTCTCACCACCCTGTGGGTGAAAAATTTCCACCTTATATCTGACCTAAATCTCTCCTCTCTCAGTTTAAACCATTTCCCCTGGTCCCATCACTCTCTGCCCATGGCAAAAGTCCCTCTCCCTCCTGTTTCTAAGCTCCCTTCAGGTACTAGAAGGCTGCAATGAGGTCTCTCCCCGTAGCCTTCTCTTCTCCAAGCTCAACAAGCCCAGCTCCCTCAACCTTCCTCACAAGAGAGGTGCTCCAGCCCTCTGATCATCTTCCTGGCTCTCCTCTGGACCTGCTCCAACAGCTCCACATCTTCCTTGTGTTGGGGGCTCCAGGTTTG